TCAACGCCAGGGCGCGTCGCTCAAGGACGAACGGTTTAACGTCGTTCTGAGAGGTAATCCGGGTACTGGTACGTTTATTTCCTTGCTGCCTTCGGAGTACGAGCTGATTTCCACGCAGGCAAAACAACTGTCGCGCGACACTACGCGAAGTTCCTCGCCTCAGTCGGCGTCGTCCCCGGGGACTCATTCATCGAGATGACCGGGTCTCGTCTGGCACATGACGGCGTTCGCGACATCAAAGAGCAGATCGAAGAGATGCGCGACGAGGGCGGCGGCGCGATATTCGTCGACGAAGCGTATCAGCTCACCGAAGGGCACAACTTCGGCGGCAGACCGGTCCTCGACTTCCTCCTCGGCGAGATGGAAAAGAGCGCTGGCGAGATTGTCTTCATCTTTGCGGGCTACAGCAAGCAGATGGAGAAGTTCTTCGAGCACAACCCGGGTTTGTCCAGCCGTGTGCCGTACTCGCTGCAGTCCAAGGACTACACCGATCTCGAGCTCCTGTATATGTTTGGGAAGCTGATACTGAAGAAGTATAATGGGCAGATGAAGGTCGAGGGCGGGATGTTCGGGTTGTACATGCGCATCGCGATCAGGCGCCTTGGCCGTGGACGAGGGAAGGAAGGCTTTGGCAATGCTAGGGCGCTCCAGACCATGCTCGCGATTATCTATGAGCGGCAGGCAGTGCGTCTAACGGAAGAACGCAAGAATTGGACAATCGCGGACGATTTCCTCCTGAAGAAGGAGGACATCATTGGTCCTGACCCTTCGAAGGCAGTCTTGGAGAGTGCCGCATGGAAGAAGCTACACGAGCTGGTCGGTCTCGCTGAGGTCAAGCGGTCTATCAAGACCCTCTTCGACCTCATTGCAGAGAACTACAAGCGCGAGCTGGTGGAGAAGCAGCCGATTCAGATGTCGCTCAACCGCGTATTCCTTGGCAACCCCGGGACGGGCAAGACGTTGGTTGCGAAGCTGTATGGGCAGATCTTAGCGGATCTTGGACTGTTGAGTAACGGCGAAGGTGGGTTCAAGCGTCGCCAGATCAACTAGCTTTGGTCCTGATTTACGTCGTAGTCGTGCTCAAGAACCCCGCCGACTTTGTTGGGAGTGCCGTTGGAGAGTCGGAACGAAATACCAAGGCTATTCTGGCAGCCACGGCTGGCAGGGTTCTGGTCATCGACGAGGTATCGTATATGCCGTTTCACGGATGAACCCGCCATTGCTGACGTTCTCTTGTAGGCATATTCGTTATACGGAGGTGGGGGTGCTGGCAGCGAGAAGCAGAGCAATTCGTACAAGACAGCCGTCATTGACACTATCGTCGCCGAAGTTCAGAGCATCCCGGGCGAAGACCGATGTGTTCTCATGTGTGGCTATGAACAGCGGATGCGGGAGATGTTTCAGGTAATGTTGTAAATGTACTATTCCAGGGTGCGCCGATATTGAGCGCGTTGTAGAACGTCAACCCAGGTCTTTCGCGCCGATTTGCTATCGAGGACGCATTTCGCTTCGAAGATTTCACTGATTCCGAACTTCTCGAGATCCTAAACTTGAAGCTCAGGGATCAAGATCTCGGCGCGACGCCTGAAGCAAAGAAAGTGGCGATCGATATGCTCAGCCGTGCCCGCGACCGGCCGCACTTCGGGAATGGCGGAGAAGTTGAGAACATGCTCGGCAAGGCGAAGAATAACTACCAGTCGCGCCAGTCAAAGCTCCACACTTCTCAGCGGCCGCTCGAGGTTATCTTCGAGCCTTTTGACTTTGATCCTAACTTCAACCGGGCGGAAAGCTCGGATACGAACCTGAGGAAGCTCTTCGAGGATATGGTCGGATGCGAGAAGATCGTAGAGAAGTTGCAGGAGTATCAGAACATCGCACGTGTTACAAAGCAGCGCGGACGGGAGGCACGGGAGGCGCGGCATCTCATTCCAACTAACTTCGTGTTCAAGGGACCACCTGGTGAGTACCATCATGCTTGAACGAGAGTTCCGATACCAACACGGAGCAGGTACTGGCAAGACGACTACGGCGCGCAGGATGGGCCAGGTGTATTACGACATGGGCTTCCTGTCATCCACAGAGGTTGTGGAATGCTCCGCCTCCGACCTAGTAGGACAATACGTCGGACAGACAGCGCCAAAGACGAAGCAGGTCTTCGAGCGCGCTCTTGGCAAGGTCCTGTTCATCGACGAGGCGTATCGTCTAAGCGAGGGCGCGTATGCGAAGGAGGCCGTGGATGAACTCGTCGGTATCCTCACCCATGAGACCTTCGACGGAAAACTCATCGTTATCATCACCGGATATGACAAAGAGATGAACACGTTACTAGCTGTCAACCCCGGACTTGCGAGTCGATTCCCCGAGGAGATATACTTCGAAAATATGTCGCCGGAGCACTGTCTCGAGATATTGAAGAAGGACCTCGCGAAGGACGATATCGAATGCACAGCGCTTGGGGCGACATCCTCGGCTGAACACAAGCAGATGGTGTCACTAATCGGGCAGCTTTCTTCGCTGGACTCATGGGGCAATGCGCGGGACATCAAAACACTCGGAAAGCGGATGACGCGCTTGGCCTTCAAGCGCATCGCTAGCATTGCCCACGGGTCCAAACTCCCATTGTCCGGCTCTGAAGCTGCTCATTGCATGGCTGTCATGCTGAAGAGC